TCAATAACTTCTCTTTCGTCCAACGTTCAAGAAGCGTCCTCATATACTCTAATAGATCAAATACTGGCAGCTCTCTTGTCTCTTTTGTTACAGCATTTAACGACTCGGCAATGTTTGATGTCATAGTAAAAGTTCTATTCACCGTTGCATGTACTCTTGACCATCTATGATAGCCAATAACATATAGGTAAGATTTCACACTCGGGTCTACCTCTTCAATCTTCAACATCCTTTCATTAAATTCATCCAGAGTGTATGAACGTGTTGTAGCAAAGTACAATACATGTAATTGTAAATGTCCCTTCTTGAATTTGGACCTTATATTTGCCTAAATATGCCACATGCAAGAGTAGTGTGGCATGACCGGATAGACAATTGATGTTGCCTTCAGTATACTCTCATTCTTATCTGAAACAACACACATTGAAGGTCTTTCACCATATGCCTCCTTGAATTGCTCAAAGAACCACTTCCAAGACGCGTCGTTTTCAGAATCAACCACAGCATATGCCAAGGGAAATATAGTACCTACATTTTTAATTCATAAAATATTAATTGGCAGCCCTGAAAAGGTATATAAAAATATAATTAAATAACAACTACAATATATATTCAGAATATAGACAATTTATCTACACTTTTTTCCTTTAGCTACAAAATAACTACAATATAACTACAATTTAACTACATTTTATAGAATGCCTACAAAATAACTACAAAATTATTACATTATTTACCTGTTGCATCCATGGTGCTTGTTGTAAGCATAATCCCCCTGTAGGCTGACTTTAAGAATGTCCCATCAACCACTATTACTAGCCTACAATGTTGCCAACCACTTATTGATGTACAAAGAGCAACAAATGCGTATAAGAAGCAATCATCTGCTGCCTTCTTCAATTTAACAACAGAACCAGGATAAGTCTTCTCAAGAATATAAAAATATTTGGGTAATTTGTTGTAAGAGTCAGACGAATTCCCTCTCAAAAACTGTAAAGCCTTTTCATTGGCTCTCCATGCTTGCATGTAGCTTAGGTTCAGTCCATGTTCGGATAACATGTCAGTTTGTATGTCCTTTGGTGTGTAAACAGCCTTAGGATTACAATACTTTGGAACGATTATGCTACCAACTACAGCTGCAGTACGTTTGCGCTGTATGAATGTTTCGTCCATTAAGGAGCATGTGTGTTGTCGGCTAAAACTCCTTATCTTGAACATTGCCGACTCATTAATTGACGTTGCCTTGAAGTGCCATTTACAGTTTTCAGCAACGCATATAAGCCAGTAGCTACAAAAAAAAATACAATATTTGATACAGGCTATAGATGTATAAGCAACAAAAAGGACTGTTTTAACACAAATTCGTTAAAAACTACAATTAACTACAGTTTAACTACAATTAAACTACAATTTATAAGAACCACATATCTTTACTAAAACACTGCTTTTGCTGATATATTCTCCACAAATAAATACATACCTTCTATGACTAGATCTTTTTACTCTGAACTGGAACTTGTGCATCACAGAAAAATTCTTCATTACAGCAGCTACAACTTGCTTGTCCTGATAAACTTGTCCTTCTTCAATATATGTTTGCGTAGATTCAGTTATTATTTCACTTTGATATTCCTCTATAGCTGGTGAGGATGGAAATTCAAGTAAGTTTAGGGATCCAGACGAACCTGCAAACAATAAATTCATAAATGTAGTTTCTATGTAGATAATTTTGAAAGCAACATTGCTTTATCCTTTTCAGTACTATGTGAGCTTTGTAGTTTAATTGTAGGTAATTGTAGTAATATTGTAGATAACATAGTAACACCATAACTCTCTGCAATGTCGAATCAAACATAC